ATACAGTTTATATATACTCTACTTTTTCCGAATTCATTTTCCTTAGTACGTAATTAGGTATTCGACACCTAACTTATATTTTTAACTAGATAGTTACCCAGCGTTATACGCGGGATAATATGATATGCAAGTAAAATCAATATAGTTTTAGTTTAAAAATAATATATAGTTATTAGGAAAATTATTATATGAAATCCATAACTCGTTTATACATATCAATTTTGTAATTATTTTGTATATAAATTTATCACACTCGTGAAATAATTGAAAAAAAACAAATTTTTAGTTTTTTCGTCAATATATATCACTTATTAATAAAATGTATTTATTTAATCTTAATCTTTAAAAATACGGTTTATGACTCAAATATATAAAATAAAAAATCACAAATATGAATTGAATCTTATAGGTTTAGCCTAATTATAAGAGTGATAATGTAGTTTTTAAAATACAAATTTGGATTTAATTAATTGTTCATAAATAGTTTTAGATGCTATCCTAAGAGAAATCTAAAATTTATTTTATATAATAAAATTTTACAATTATTTTATATAGAAATGTGTTACACATGTGATTTCTTTTTTTCTTAAAATAACTTTTTTAGTCATTTTATATCACTTATTAATCAAATATATTTTTTTAATATCATAATTTTCAAAATACGGTTTATGATTCAATGTATAAAATGAAAGATTGCAAATATAAATTTAATCATATTTAGGGTAATTATATAATAGTAATATTTTTTGGGGCAATTGCAAAAATTACCACTTTTGTATACACATTTGCAAGAATGTCACCTAGGGATGTCTATTTACAAAAATGCCAGTAATTATAGATTTATAAAACCTATATCTTAAAATTCTAAACCCTAAAAAATGTTTTAACACCTAAAACCCCCTAAACACTCAAAACTAAACTCTAATATAATATAGTTAATCCAAACATAAATTATATAATGAAAACATAATTTTGAAAAAGTGGCATTTTTGTAAAGATTTCAAAAGTGTGACATTTCTGTAAAGTAGCACTTGAAAAGTGGCATTTTTTGAAATTTTTCATATTTTTTTAATAAGTTAATAGTAAGGATTAATATTACAATATTTGAATAACTAATTTAGGCACGTTTATAAATATTCTAATGTGTTTGGTAATTGAGATTATAATT